CCCTCCGTGCGGAGAACCACGGTGCATCCGTGGGCTGCTCCTTCTGCACAGATGGGATGAGAAGGGGTTCCAGCCCTCAGACCTCACAGCTCCACAGCTGCTCCCCTGCACAGCCAGAGGGCCCCGGGCCTTGCCCTCCTCCTCCTTCCTGCACCCCTGCATCTGTCTGTCTGTGTCTGCAGTGAAGACAGATCTGACAGGCGCCAGCCAGCACTGTGGGCCCGGCACTGACCTCAAGGGCCTCCAGCCCCAGAGGGCTACACCCTGCCTGGACGCCTGTGCTGGAACTCAGCCCACTCCTTCCCGCCTCCTGCTGTGGCCACTGGCTCTGCCCTCACCCTCGGGCCCGTGCAGCCGGGTGCTTCTTCCCATCTTCCATGCTGGCAGGTGCTTGGGGGCCCTGCCTTTCCGTCTCCCCACCTGCTGGCTGGACACACAGCTGAGGGTGCTCTCCTCTGTCCAGCAGAAGGCACAGAGACAAAGCGGAGGCGGCTGGGAAGGGCACCAGAGTCTGCTAGGCTCCCCTTGGCAGCCCAGGCCTGTGCCAAACCTGGATCTGTGTCCTACGGAGCCCCAGGCTGTACCCGCCCAGCCCAGCCTGGTCCACACTACACACTGCAAATGCGGTAACAAGCAGAGCTTTGAAGCAAGAACAGGGCCAGGGCAGCAGCAGTCCCGGGCCCTGGCACCACGTGCACAGCCGAGCTGCTCCTCAGGCCTAACGGCCACGTGCAGGCCCACGAGCTCGGAGTGACGGGAACGGCCCAGCACACCCTGTCCTGGTCCCACTTCCTGGAGTCCCTTCCAGGCTGGCAGGTGCCTGTGTCCCCCGGGCACTGCTGTTCCTGGGCAGCAGGAGCCACGTGGGTGACTGCGCTGTGCCCCAGGCGTGTGCTGTGGGGTATCACGGCACCACGGGACAGTCGTGGCTCTACCGCAGCCAAGACAGACCGCTGACCTCTCCTGCACACGGAACGTCCTGTGGCCCTGGGGGCCTCAGCCACGGCTCGGTGCAGGGTCTCCCAGGAGGCTCCTCGTGTCCCCTGCGTGTGGGCCTGGTGCCTGCTTGGGGAGCGCAAGGACGGGGTGATGAGTGGGGCCTGCGCCTGAGGAGAGGTGGGAGGCCCTGGCTGAGAAGGGAAGCCAGGGCTCCGCACAGCCCCGGGGCTGAGGCCAGGCGCGGCAGGGGCCTCTGCGGAACCCCTGGACTTGTTTGTGAGCGAGCAGAGTCTCCAGCCCCCCCCCCCCCCCCCGCGCGAGCGTTCAGGCAGATTCACTCCGCAGAAGCAGACCCGCACCCGAGACGGCCCCGCCAGGCTCCCGCCCCAGAGCTCGCGTCCCGATCCCTGCTTCTCCCTAGTTTTTCTGTTTGATAGGCAGAAATGCGGAGAGCAACAGACGCCTGGGCCAGGGCTGACGCTGGGAACCCAGCCCAGGCCTCCACGTGGCGGCAGGAACCCAGCCACTGAGTCGTCACTGCTGCCTCCGGGGTCTGCGCCAGCGTCAGGAGCTGAGACCGACAAGGGACACCTGCGTCTTCACCGGCGTCCTAACCGCGGAGCCAAACGACCACTCCCAAAGTCACTGATGACCGCTCAGGAGCGGGCGGGCCCCGGCCAGCGGCCCAGGCCCAGGCCTCTGGACACCCTGACCCAAGAGTGTGGACAAACTTCCGGGTTCAGTTCCCAATAAGCTCTCACCTGGTAAACGTTCACTCTGGGGCCAGCGTGTGGCACAGGTAAAGCCCCTGCTTGCAACGCTGGCATCCCCTGTGACCACCAGTTAGAGTCCTGGCTGCTCTGCGTCCGGTCCAGCAACCTGCTGACCGCCTGGGAAAGCAGTGCAGGACTCCCTGCGGTCACGGGGGAGACCCATGGAGCTCCGGGCCCCTGGCCCAGCACTGCTCGTGTGGCCACTTGGAAGAACTCCCTCTCTCCCCTTTTCTCTCTGTGTCACTCTGTCCTTGTAATCTTTTCTTTAAAAAACCCTCACTGTGACGACTCTCTAAAGGGCTTCCTCACGACAAGGAGCCGCCACCTGGGGACCTGCCGCGCAGTCCCGGGTGCCCTGCGGCCCTGGCTGCCGCCCGGCATCCTGGTGAAGAAGAGGAGCATCTGGGTGAGTCTGGACAGCCCTCGGGTCAGGAGGAACGCCGGGGTTGCTGGAGGGTCCTGGGTCTGGACGGCACTCGCCGGGGACTGACCACAGCGCTGCCCCGCAGGAAGCCGAGGTCCCCTCCACAGCTTACAACGCCTCGCTGCGGCCCCAGGACCAGGCACAGCTTGGTGGGGGTGTGGCCCTGCACCCACAGATCTCCCCGGGCACGGGTGCTGGGGGCAGCACGCAGTCACCGGCCATAAGCATACGCCTTCCTTGCCCAGGCAGGGGTGGGGGGCGGGAGAGCTGGCCAGGTGCGGCCTGGGAGCCAGCCCTCTCCACGTCCCATTCCCCTAACCTGTCTGAGAGGAAGCAAACCCTCAGTCTGCACTTCCCGAGGGGAAGGCCGCGGATCCCAGCCTGGTCTTCCTTGTGGCAACCAGAATCCAGGATGCCACGTGGTGTTCACCTGAGTGGCACCTGTGCCTTGTCACCCACACGTCACAGCTCACAGAGCAGCAGGACACAGCAAGGACAGAGAGGGTCGGCTTCCAGGCCTGACCTTCACGGCAACCTGTGTCCTGAGCACAGGCACCCAGGGCACCGCAGACGGGCCATGTGGCCTCAGGGCCGGCACGAACGGCTCCCACAGCAGGAGCCCGGACAGGTGTGGCAGCAGGCACTGACGGCCCTCCCCACACAGGACACCCACCTCTCTCCGGAAGGCCCCGGGGCTGCAGGTGCATGGCTGCTTCCCACCTGAAGGTCCCACTGCTTCCTGCTGGGCTGTCCCCAGGAACCTCCCCAGCTCGGCCACCTGCTTCCGCAGCTCCAGGACCTCCAGGTGCACCTGGTCCACTTCTCGGGGAAGCTCACCCTGGACGGTGTCCAGCTTCAGGGATTTCGGCAGCACCTGGAGGCAGTCAGGAGAGGGCACCCTTGGGGCCCTGCAGGTCTCGGGCACAGGTAGCTCTCTCTGGCAGACATGGTCACCGCAAAGCTGTGCCCGGTCAGCACCGCCACTGCGCCTCCGGCCTCGCCCAGCTGTGCTGAGCTGCTGCTGCCCGGAGCTGGGAGCTGGGGCACAGACGGCCTTCGGCCTCCGCCTGGGGGGACCCCTCCTGGGAGTGATCTCTCATCCACCGTCCACTCCCCAGGGGAGGAGAACTGGGAAGGGGAGTGGAAGGGAAGAGGAGGGGCGAGAGGGAAATGGGGCTGAAGGGCTCGAGAGGACAGGTGGCCGACGTGGGGCAGACAAGAGGCAGAGGTGCAGAAAGCTCCAGAAAGGGAGGTCAAAGGCCAGCGGTGCCAGGTGCCGCTCTCAACGCCCGCGTCCCACGTTAGAGTGCTCGCGTGAGGCCCAGCTGCCTCTGCTTCTGGTCCAGCTCCCTGCGAATGCGCCTGGGGGGCAGCAGTTCCCAGCTCCGGGCTCCCAGCTTTGGCCCAGGCCCGGCTGTCGCAGTCAGGATGGGACCTCTCTGTCTCTCCCTCTCTGCCATTCCAATAACAAATAGGAATGTTTAAAGAGGGAACCAGGAGGAGGGCTATCCTCCTCGACACAACACCCATGCTGCGCACCATAGTCAGGGCTTTCAGAAGATGGCCTTCACAGAGAGGGAGGGGTCCTCCCCTGCTGGCCCACGCCGGGCGCTGGGCGTGCGGACTCGCGGCAGCAGGCGGCTCACCTTCCGTCTCAGCCGCGTCACCAGCACATTCAAGAGACGTGCTCGGTCTCCGAGCTTCCTGAGGGCCAGCCCAGCGCACCCGGGGCCGGCGTGGACACAGCCTCCTGCGGAGGAGGGACTCCGTCAGCTCAGAGCCCGACTGTGAGGGAGGGATCCGCCATCTTCCCTGGCCTCCCCGCAGGGTCCCACAGGCGGTGTCCGCCCAGCGACCCCAGGGAGAGAGCTCCGCTGGGGGCAGCGGCTGGGGTCTCTGAGGCGCACAGGTGCGATCACGCCCCCAACACAGGACCTCCCCGCGCGGCGCCTGACGAGACCCTCATCCGTACGTCGGCGCTCCTGGGACGCACCGGGGGCCTCCGCCGGGGTGTGGACGAGGGGCTGAGTGTCGCTGTCAGACGCGGGCACCTTCGAGGGCTCCAGCACACCCTCCAGCTGTCCTTCCAGGGTCTGAAGTCTGTGCTTCAGGTCTTGAACTTCCGCTTCAAGGGCCAGAACGTAACCTGCCGAAAGCCAGTGGGCAAGAAACGCCCACCCAACACTGCGCCTGCGCGCACCAAGACAGAGCCCACCCAACGCTGCGCCTGTACGCACCAAGACAGAGCCCACCCAACACTGCGCCTGCGCGCACCAAGACAGTGCCCACCCAACACTGCGCCTGCGCGCACCAAGACAGAGCCCACCCAACACTGCGCCTGCGCGCACCAAGACAGAGCCCACCCAACGCTGCGCCTGTACGCACCAAGACAGAGCCCACCCAACACTGCGCCTGCGCGCACCAAGACAGAGCCCACCCAACACTGCGCCTGCGCGCACCAAGACAGTGCCCACCCAACACTGCGCCTGTGTGCACCAAGACAGAGCCCGTTCCCGTGGACAAGACACGCCCACCCAACACCGCGCCTGTGCGCACCAAGACAGAGCCTGTTCCAACCCTCGTGTCTCCCTTCACGGGCCCCGTCCTCTCCCCCAGCAGCTGTCCCACGTCCAGTGCCAGCCCCAGGGCTCCCCTCACCCTCGCTCGTGGCGCGGCTGTGAGGGTCCCTGTACCTGGTGCCCACTGTGGCAGCCGCTTGGGGCGCCCCTGGTCCCCTTGAGGCAGGGCCTGGGGTCCTCGCCCGAGACCAGACGCTCGGGCCAGCCCAGCGGGAGACCGGCGTCAGGGTGCCAGTGCCCCTCCGCACTTTCCCTTCCCTCCCAGCAAGCAGGCTTCTGGAGTGCAGAGCTGAGACTCCTCACGGGAGGACAGCAGCTGCCGCTCTCTGCAGCGTTTATCAAAGGGGGTGTGCGCCCGCCCGGGCCCAGCGCACAGATGCTGCCTGCCCTCACCGGGAGTGGCTGCCTCTCCTGCCTCGGGATCGGGCTGCTCGGTCTCTGAGGTGGCTCCCAGCTGCGCCGAGGGGAGAACCTGGTGGCCCAGGGCTTCCATCTCCGCCCGCATCTGGGCGACGGCGTTGCGCAAGCTCGCATTCTGCTCCTGCAGCCGCTGGATCTCACTGGACACGAGGCCTCCGCTCACTCCTTCTTCAAGCGGCCTGGAAAGCACCTGCCAGATACCCAGAGAAAAACCGGGACTCGGCCGCGGCTACAGAGAAGACACGAGGCCCCCAGGCCGGTCCAGGCCGGCTCCGGCTCTGTGCTCTCGGGGCCTCCCTACCCACCCCGCCCGTCTGCCCGTGGAGACAACCACCTTCCTGGGTAACCTGAGAAGCCCTCATCCCTGGGGGAGCCACGTTCAGATAGAGCAGACGACAGGTGTCAGCGGAAGGGAGGAGCTGTGTTTAAGGCGACAGAGCTGGAGGGCTGGAGCAGGCTGCGCGGCGGCTGGCGCCAGGGGGCCACACGGTGAACAGGCCGAGGGCGCCCTGTATGCCAGGCGTGCTTCAGCACCGTCAAAGCTCCCCTGGCCGGGACGGGCTTCCGAGCCGATGGGAGAGCTGCACACACAGCGTTCAGGAGAAGTGGAGAGGAGAGGCCAGAAATGAGGCCTGCACAGCCCCAGGGGAGTCTGGGGCACGGGGAAGCAGAGCCCAGGACAAGCAGGGGCCGCAAGTGTCTCCGTGCGATGAGACCCAGAACCCCCAGGCCCAAGGGGCTTGGCTTCTGCACAGGAGAAACACAGAGGCCTCGGCACAGGGCACCCAGAGGCCTCGGCACAGGGCACCCGGAGGCCTCGGCACAGGGCACCCAGAGCAGGTGCTGAAAGGCCGTGACCAAGGGGAGAGCGTTCCTTTCATTTTAAGATTTACTTATTTACTTGAAAGTCAGAGAGAGAGAGAGATAGAGATAGAGATAGAGATAGAGAGAGAGAGAGAGAGAAAGACAGGGAGAGATCTCCCATCTACTGGTTCACTCAAATGGCCACAACGACCAGGGCTGAGCTGAGCAAGGCCAGGAGCCTGAACTCCTTCGAGGTCTCCCACGTGGGAGCAGGGCCCGAGCACTTGGGCCACCCTCCACTGTGCTCCCAGGCCACAGCAGGGAGCTGGACCGGAGTGGAGCAGCCGGGACTGGAACCCACCTGGGATGCCGGCCCTGCTGCACCTGCTACGCCACATGCGGACCCCGAAGGGAAAGTCTGTTGAACAGCAAGCAGGAAAGGAGGGGCCCCAGCGTGCACAGAGGCAGACGCGAGGCCACGGCAGCCTGGCGGCCCTGCCAGCCCAGACGCTGGCCATCGGCGACAACGTCCTCCACCCACTGCCCTGGCAGGAGGGAGTTCCCACCAGAATGTCTCCCTCTGGCTGTGAACAGCAAGAAACCGGACAACAATGACGGCAGAACTGGGACACCTGAGATGGGACAGGGGACAGCTCCCCCGGCCCGGCCAGGTGTGTGCACAAAGCGCCTGCCAGCGCAGGGCGGGGTCCGCCCGAAGCCCCTCCCCCAGCTCCACGCTGTGCGGCTGGTTCATCCTGAGACACCCGGCCCTGGCTGACCGCAGGCCCCCCAGCTGGACGCTCCGTCCTGCAGCCCCGGGGATCCTGGCCTGACGTTCTCAAGAGCAGGCCCAGAGCTCCTGGGTTCCGTGCGCGTCTCCGCAGAGTGCACGCACAGGGAAGGCGCACAAGCCGCGAGTCCTCCCGGCGCTGGCAGGCGTCTGTCCCAGGCGCCCTGCACTGCTGGGGGTTCTGCTTCTGGTCCTCCACGGTGAGGTGAGCCGCAGGCAGAGGAGTGAGGCCTCGGCCGCCAGGGAGGTGGGGCCGGCAGAAACAGAGGTGAGGGCCAAGCTCCCATCCTGCGCACGGAAGCTGTGCAACACCCCTTACACACCAGCAGGGGGCACCAGGGCTGTGGTGTAGTGGGTGAAGCCGACGCCTGCAGTGCGGCATCCCACATGGACGCCGGTTCTCGTCCTCTTCCGATCCAGCTCCCTGCTAAAGTGTGTTGGAAAGCAGGGGAAGACGGCCCAAGTGCTTGGCCTCTGCGCCCACATGGAGACCTGGATGAAGCTCTGGCTCCTGGCTTTGGCCTGGCCCGCCCTCACCCTTCATCCCTCTGGGGAGTGAACCAGTGGATGGAAGGTCTCTGTACCCCTGCCCCTTTGTAACTTTTTCAAGTAAGTAAATAAATCTTAAAAAAAAAAAAAGCAGGAAAAAAAATCTGAGCCACGCGCAGCCCAGAACAACACTGCCGTCAGTCCTCCCACTCCGCCTCTCCGAGCCCCGTGCTTCCGCCCCCTCCGCCCGTGGGGCGCTCGACCCGGCCGCGTGCCACCTGAAATGAGCCCACGATGTCAAGGTCCAAGGGACCCTGCACCAGGCAGGAGGCCATGATTCACAACTGGCCCCAGCGACACTCAGAACGAGGCCCCCAACGGCGTCACCGGCACGGGACAGCTGGCGGCGCTCTGAGACAAGCACGCGGCACAGCGACCACTGCGCCTTCAGAGAGGCAGCCGGGGCGTGGGTGTGCGCGGCGAGAGCTCGAGGCTGACTCTCCTGTCGGTGCTGCCAGACGCTCCGAGGGGCAGCCGGCAGCACCGTGTGCAGCGGCTAATCCGCCGCTACAGTGCCAGCATCCCAGGTCAGAGCTGAGTCGAGTCCCATCTGGCTCCCTGCTAATGGCCTGGGCAAGCAGCAGCGATGTACCCATGCACTTGGCCCCTGCCACCCACACGGGAGACCAGGATGGAGCTCCAGGCTCCTGGCTTTGGCCCGGACCAGCCCCGGCCATTGAGGCCATTTGGGGAGTGAACCAATGTGGAAGATCCTATCTCTCTCTGTCACTCTCCCCTTTAAACAGGTAACTAGATCTTTAAAGACAGAACCAGGACCAGGACTGCAAGGCCCAGCTCCAGCTCTGGCCTGCTCCGGGGCACTATCCCAGAAATGCCGCAGGAGCTGGGGAGTGGGCGCTGTCCCCAGGGTCAGCGGGAGGGAGGAGGGCAGGAGGGCGGCGGGGGAGGCACCGCGCTCACCTGTGCCTCCTGTCCCGGAGGGAGCCCGTGTGTCCTCAGCGCCTCCAGGGCCTGGTCCCGCTCCAGGACCACAGCTCGCAGCACCGCCTCCCGCTCGCGCAGCACCCGCTCTGTCTCCTGGAGCTTGGCGGCCGCCTGGGAAACACTGGGGCTCAGGCCCTCGTGGGCCACGTGGCTGTCCTGGCCTCGAGGAAAGAGAGGCCAGTCCCCTCCCTCACATCGCAGGCGGGGTGAGAGCCTGTGCGACGCGGGGCTCTCCTGCACACCCAGCCCCTGCTTCCCAGGACCACCAGGCGGCGCTGCGGGCCACCGCAGCCCTGGGCGCAGGCCAAGCGTTCCTGCTGAAATGTTCCCCGCCGCAAACCCAGCTTCTCAGGAGTCCAGCGCTTCACGCTTAAAGAACATGCTGGGGGGTCCCAGCTGTCCTGCCGCGGGATGGGCCCCTCCTCGGGCAGAGCCGAGCAGGCCCCGCCACGGGCGCTGCCCGCACACACCTGAGCTCTTGCCGTGGTCAGGCCCTCGATCAAAGCCTCCGATCTCTGGATCTGGTCCCGCTCGACGGCCTCACAGCGGCGCTGCCAGTCCAGGCCCAGCTGCACCTGGTCACGCTCCAGGCTCTGCTCCCTCGCCACCGCCAGGGACAGCTGCTGCTTGTACCTGCAGACACGCTCAATCCACTCACCAGGAGCGCTTCCGGTCCCCCCGCGCGAAGGGCAGAGGTCGGGGGGCAGTGCAGCCACGCTTGTGTGTGACACGCTCCCGGGCCGGCACTCGGGGCCCTGTGCCAGGGCACGGAGGAGCCACGGCACGGAGGAGCCACGGCACGGAGGAGCCACGGCACGGAGGAGTGCCTTGTGTGGAGGAGGGGGCGGCACGAGCGGAAGAGAGGGAGGATGTCATCGTGTGAATCCCGAGGAGCCGCAGGGCTGCCCCGCTGGCTGGAGCTCTGAGCACGCGCCCCACGTGCCTCAGGGGAGGCCCCGCCCCCCCCCGCCCTGCAGGCGTCAGTCACACACAGTCTGCCAGCAACGGGCCCTGCAGGGTCAGTCAGGATGCCCTCCTGGCCCTGCGTGCATCTGCACTTGGTGCAAAGCGCAGCCACACGCCAGTCAAATCGTGAGGACCGGGAGGCAGTGAAGCCCATGGCGGCAGCTGGAGCTCAACCCTGGTTTCTCCGTAACCGAGAGACCAGCGAGGACACAGAAGACAAGGCCGTCACCACCCGCCCGCAGCCTGAGGGACCTTCAAAAAAAAAAGATTTATTTTATTTACTTGAAAGAGTTACAGAGAAAGTAGAGACAGACAGAGAGGGCTTCCATCTGCTGGTTCACTCCCTGGATGGCTGCAACGGCTGGAGCTGAGCTGATCCGAAACCAGGAGCCAGGAGCTTCTTCCGGGTCTCCCATGTGGGTGCAGGGCCCCAAGGACTTGGGCCATCCTCCACTGCTTTCCCATGCACACCAGCAGGGAGCTGGATCGGAAGTGGAGCAGCCGGGACTTGAACCGGCGTCCACGTGGGATGCCGGCCCTGCAGGCGGCGGCTCTACCCCCTGCGCCTCAGCGCCGGCCCTGAGCCCAGGGTCAGCGGAGGTCGTGCTCTCAAGCCCACTGGAGCTTTGAGGCCGAACACGATGGAAGGCGCGGGGACGGATAAGGGACTCTCTGCCGACAGAATTAAATCAGAAACCTCAAAGCAATGGGACATTAAGTAACGGAGATGTAAACAAGCCATCAGTCAGAGACGGAATCGCGAAGCACGTCAGAAAACCCTGGACTGAACGAGACCCGAGTCTGGGCTCAGCCAGGCTGTGCCGCTCGGAACCCCGGTACCGACTGCTGACAGCGGGAGACCGCAGGGGCCCACGGTCGCCACCTGGGCTCCCACCAAACAACTAACTGAAGCCACAGCAAATGGATAAAAGGAAGTATTAGGTATCCATGAGCTGGAAACATAAAAGTAATTGAGAACTTCAGTAAAAACAGGGCCAGCACCGTGGCGTAGCGGGTAAAGCCACTGCCTGAGATGCCAGCATCCCACATGGGTGCCGGTTCAAGTCCTGGCTGCTCCTCTTCTGATCCAGCTCTCTGCTAATGGCCCGGGAAGGCAGCGGAAGATGGTTCAAGTGCCTGGGCCCTGCACCTGTACGGGAGACCCAGAAGAAGCTCCTGGCTCCTGGCTTCGGCCTGGTCCAGCTCTGCTTGTTGGCAGCCATTTGGGAAGCGAACCAGCGGATGGGAGGTCTGTCTTTCCCTCTCTCTCCTGTCTCTCTCTTTCAAATAAATAAATAATGCTTTTTAAAACACAAACAGATTGCAGCTTGAGCACGTCGCTAACTCCCGTCACCGCCTCCTCACAGCCGACACCCACTCGTGTGTCCTCCTTGGTTCAGGGACGTGAGCTGCTCAGCGCCAGGGAGAGAAGCCCGCCCTGGGGACGCTCACCTCTCAGTGTCCTGCTGGGCCTTCGCCAGCTGGGCCTTCAGTCTCAGGTCCTCCTCCCGCAGCGCCTGCACCTGCAGGTCTTTGGAGACCACGTCCTTGGACAGCTGGGCAACCTGGGCGTCCCAGGCAGACTTGAGAGCCGCGGAGTCCTCGCGCAGCCTAAGCACGGAAGGGAGGCGCCATGCACGTGGGTGTGGCGCCCACCTTCTCCCTCGCCAGGCAGCGCTGACACCCCTGCTCGGACGAAGGAAGCGGGTCTGCCCGAGAAGAGGGCCCCTCCAGGGCTGCGCCAGGCCCAGCTCAGCGCCTCCCACCACGCCTGGCACAGCTTCGCACGCGGCACGACAGTCACACGTGTTTTCACGTGTTTCTTGAAGATACAATGAGGTCTTGCAGAACCCATGAGATAACCTGAACAGCGACATGCTTCCTGCAGAATCACTAAACACGGACACCGGGACATTACCCACCGCCCGGCGGTAACCGCGCACGACCGCGCCGGCCCGTCACCCCGAGCGGGCTGGCTCTGACAGACTGAGCGCCTGGGCAAGCTCCCGGTCACCAGGCTGTCCTGGCTGACGAGCGCCCAACACAGAGGCCGGGAGGCGCCATGGGCTTTCCACGGCGGGTGTGTTTCGGGACGAAGAGGAGCCTCTGTGTGTGTCCGCATCTTTGACAAGCTGCTTAGGAGACGGACAAAGGCATTCCCACCACTCGGCTGGACGCGGGCGTGCACACTGGCTCCCTCTGTGCCGTGCCCGGGCACTGAAGTCAGGCTCACCGACGGCCTGGCACTCCAAGCACGGCCCTCTCGGCACGCGCCTCCCCCTCCCAGCCCCATGCCCAGCCTGGGCACGGAGCGCGAGCTCCACCTGTCGCCCAGCTGCACCCTGGGGCTCGGAGCAGCGGTGTGAGGCACGGACAGCCTCCAGAAGGGGAGCCGTCCCACAGCGCTCCTCGGTCGCCTGCGGCTCCGCGCTCCGAGCCGGCACCAAGCTGCAGCGTCCCTGCAGGCTGCCGTGCAAGCTCACTGCCACTCGGGAGCCCCCAGACGCAAGCCCGGGCCCCAGCAGCTTCTCCTCCTACCCACCCGCTGCTCGCTGAGCGGCAGACCAGAAGGCACGCGCAGCAGCACCAGTCGGTGCCTTGCAGGGGAGGCTGGGCCTGGCGGCCGAGCGGCGGCGGAGCCCCCGGGCCCTGGCTGACCGCGGGGCTGAGTGCTTGGGCCTAAGTGATCCCGCCGAGGAAAGCACCCCTCTCAGCCGCAACAGAACTCCCCAGAGACCTTCCAGGAAAAGAGCCAGAAAGAGCCCCACACGCAGGGAAGAGGCCGGCTGCTCAGCGCTCGTCCAGGGCCGCACACGGCTCAGGCCGGGCCCCCGGGAGCGGGCGCGTGGGCTCCACACGGCTGCCGTCCACGCACCACGCCCAGCTTAAACGCAGGAAAGCAAATCGGGTCTAAAACGATGCTCATCCCGGAGAAGCTGGGAGCCCTGGGTGCTGCGGGGGGGCCGACACGGAGCGGCGCTGAGTGACGCAGACGCCCAGAGCTGCAGCAGGCGTCCCCTCCCAGCTGCACTGCTCACAGCAGCCAGAAGGTGGCAGCAGCCCACCCACACCCACACCCGGTCTGTCCACACAGTGGACCCTCACTCGGCGCTGGGAGAGGTGAAGACGGCGAAGTGTATGTTATGTGCATGCTACACGCGTGCTTAAAGGAAGGGAATCCTGACACCGCTCCAGCACCCACGAAGCCTGCAGATCCACTGCGTGAACCACGCCAGCGGGCAAGGAGGCCTCCTGGCTTCCCACGCACTAGAGGAGTGGACAGTAGTGCCGTTCACCGCGCAGAGTGGCCGGGGCGGCCTGGGGGTCCTGGGGGCGGGGGCAGGCTTTCTCTTGGGAGGCAGCTGGTAGGGACGGCTGCACAACAAGGGGCAGGCCCTGACGCCACCGGGCTGTGCGATGGTGGCGGCTAAGCTGGGCAGTCTCATGCTACATGTGTGTCCTACCACACACACACACACACGACTAAGCCGGGCAGTCTCATGCTACATGTGTGTCCTACCACACACGCACACACACGGCTAAGTTGGGCAGTGTCACGCTGCATGTGCTACCACAGACACACACGCACATGCACACATACACACACACAGTGGCTAAGCCGGGCAGTCTCATGCTGTGTGTGTCCTACCACACACGCACACGCACACACATGACTAAGCCGGGCCATCTCATGCTGCGTGTGTCCTACCACACACACGCACACGCACACACACAGCTAAGCTGGGCCGTCTCATGCTGTGTGTCCTACCACAGACACGCACACGCACACACACGACTAAGCTGGGCAGTCTCATGCTGCGTGTCCTACCACACCACACGACACGCACACGCACACACACAGCTAAGCCGGGCCGTCTCACGCTGCGTGTCCTACCACACACGCACACGCACACACACGGCTAAGCCGGGCAGTCTCACGCTGCGTGTCCTACCACACACGCACACACAACCTCAGAAAGGGAATGGTCAAGAACAACGGCCAGAGGCGCGTGACCCTCCCTGGAGACGGGACGGTGGCGCTGCTCACCTGTCGATCGCGGCGTCCCTCTCCCGCGCGGCGTCCGCCTGCGCCCACTCGGCCCTGCGCAGCTGCACCTCCAGGTTCTCGCAGTGGGCCTGCAGCTCCCGCATCCTGGCCTCCAGGCCACGCAGCTGCTCCCCGTGGGCGCCCTTCACCGCTCCCAGCACCGCGTCCCTCTCCCTGGCCAGCCGGTCGAGCTCCTCACGCCTGAAACAGAGCAGGCCCTCGCGGTGCTCCTGGGCTTCCTCCCGCTGCCAGGCAGGAGGTGAGAGGGGCCCAGGACAGGCCCTCGCGGTGCTCCTGGGCTTCCTCCCGCTGCCAGGCAGGAGGTGAGAGGGGCCCAGGAGACAGCAGGGGAGCAAGCCCTGCCCAGACTGCCCAGCCCTCCCCCAAGGAAAGCTCCCGGGAGAATCCTCCCCCAGCACCACAGGGCCACCTGGCCTGGTGACACGGAGCACTACACCATGACACCCCTCCTCCAAGGCAGGCGCCCTAGGGGAGGCCCCGCTGCCCGGCCAGGGGGCTCCGCAGTCTGTTTGCACCGAGTGCTGGAACCTTGGGAGGCATTTTTCCTAACTCACACTCAGCAAAGCCTTTGTCCTGGAGGAGGAGGGGAGGGAGAAAGGCAGAAGAACCGGACCCCCTTCCCTTCTAAGCCCTAGTGGGAGTGCAGACCGCTCTCTGCTGAGCCCCCGCCTGGCCTGCCAGGGGCGTTCTCTCCATGGGACGGAGCAACCTCGCTCTCCCAGGCTGAGTGACTGGTGTCTGTGTCTCGGATTCTATCCCACCCATTCTGGCGGATGCCCTACCCCACAAACCTTGCTCACTTGCTTACCACTATTCTCTGTCTCGCATCTGAACTCCTTCTTGCGCAAAGGCAAGACCCACCCCCCCCGCTGCTAACAGCACCACATCTGCTGTGTTCGTCCCGACCAGATGGCTGCTTCTCAGGGCAGCTCCGGCCGCTCCTCCCCGGGGAGCTCACTCACACACACACACACACACACACGTGTGCACGCACGCACCCGGCAGCACACAGCCACTTCAGGCGCTTGGCACACCCGCCAGTGCTCTCAGCCCCCGAGCAAACAGTGAACGCAGGGCAACGAGTAGAATCCCGGCACCACCACCACCACCACCACCGAGACCCCGGGCAGCCACAGAGCAGGGCAGCGGACACCGGCTGCCCTGGATCCTGGCGCCCGTCCAGGCCCCTGCAGCCGGCACTGTCAGCCGCCTCTCTTTGGGTTGCCCTCAGCGACCCACGTGGAAGGCAGGCTCTGCCGACACAGGACACAGGAGCGAGCTGAGAGGCGGCGTGGCTCACCGCGGGGCTGGCCCAGCCCTTGGTGAGGCAGGCGCTGGGGAGGGTGCTGAGACTCAGGCGAGCTCGCTGGGCTTCACCGGGTGCCGACTCCCGGTGAGACCCTGGCCCAGCCCTTCTGGAGCCGAGAGAGGCGGATTCTGCCGCCAGCGCAGAGCCCTGACAAAGCAGGTTGGCAGCTCCCAACTTTGCCCACGAATCAGGCCTGCCCGGTGCGGAAGCTCCACCAGACCGGCAGCCCTGCGCGGGGAGTTCCTCCGCGACAGGAGCTGCCAGGCATTTCATACCTTATTTAATCGCTACTGAATTTTGCAGTGCAGCCTTGTGAAGTGTACACTAGTAATCACTACGAGATATTTTAAAGAGATTTACTTATCTGAAAGGCAGAGTTAGAGAGAGGGGAGACAGAGAGACAGGGATCTTCCATCCACTGGTTCACACCGCAGATGGCCACAACAGCTGGCACAGGGCCAGGCTGAAGCCAGGCGCCTGGAACTTTGTCTGGGTTTTCCACCTGAGTGGCGAGGCCCAAGCACCTGGCCCGTCTCCCACTGCTTTCCCAGGCCCGGCAGGAAGGAGATGGGTCACCACCGGACCCGGGGCTCACACGGGACGCCGGCGCCACAGGTGGCTGCTTAACCTGCCGTGCGCAATGCCAGCCGCCGTCATGCCTTCACCCGGAAGTCACTGTGAAGACTCAGAGCCTCACGACCGCAGCGGACATCATTCTGTCATTCTATCACTCTTCCCAGTTGATGAGTGGACCTCGTTAGACTCATCTCACCACCTTTCAGCAGTCACCGAGGAGTTTCTCTGGGCTACACAGGGGCTGAAGACGGACCCCAAAGCAGCAGCCAATGACACACGTTTGTGGAGGACGTCACACCGGAAATGAAATAACGCCAGGATCCAATCGGATGCAGAGAACGTGGAGACGGCTTCCGAGGCCCGGCGCCGTGCCTGAATCCAGAGGCACACCTCCATCTGTGTGCGCATCTGCCGCTGACGTTTCTCACTGTGTACAGCTTTCGGCTTAGCAGCTTTTTGAACCACATACGATTTCATTTTTAAAACCATATTGCATTTAGGCATCTTTTACTACAAAGATGCTGTTCCATCACATGACTTACACTTTAATTTTATTGTTTATGTAATCTGACACACAAATGAAGGTTAAAATTCTTTCTCATACTTGCAATCAAAACCTAGAATCATCTGGGGTCCTTGTGAAAAATGCAGATTTTTAGAGCCCTCTGAAAGTCTAATTAAATGAATTCCCTGGAAATCAAAAAGAAAAAAAAAACTTTTCCAGCATAAAAAAAAATTCATTCAGATAAATTTCTGTGAGGAGCAGAGTGACGGGGGAAGCCGGGACGTGTGGGAGTCACTCCCATTCTCAACAACTTCAGTTTAGCATCTGAAGAGATCCTCAGGGTGGACGTGGAGGCCTGCAGGGGCCCCGGCCTCACCGCCCTCTGCCTGGGAGATGACTGACACCAACGTCACCCCCCAGCAGGGGGAAAGCAGCCGCAAGCCCGTCCCTGTGGTCGGGGTGGACAGGCAGCTCCTCTCTGAGCGTGTGCCACGTGGCCGTCCCCGCAGGGCCACCGGCCGCCCTCTGCTTCCAGGCCAGGGTCCTCGTGAGCATCACTGTGACGCCTCCTCAGAGCAGAAGCAGAGAGCACTCCCGCGGGGGCGCTGAGACCCCCAGGCCTGCCCCTTCCTGTGCCTGGGGTGCGGCACGGACTCGGCCCGAGGCTCACTCCCTGAGTGTGCTGCCCTGCTGCCGCGGGCCTCGGGGCTGGCACAGCTCAGCCGTTCACAGCTTGAGAGCAAAACCACCCAGCTGCAGTAGAGTGAGCAAAAGCCGACAGAACCGTGCCACCAAAGTGAAACGTGCTGTGACCTAAAACCGAGGCCCCGGGCAGGCTGGGCACAGGCGCTGAGGGGCCTCGGACGCTGCGTGCCCTCCTGGACAGGTGACAGCCCCAGTACTTGGGTCCCCACCGCCCACTGGGAAGCCTGGACCGAGTTCCTGCTCCTGGCTTCGGCTTGGCTCAGCCCCAGCTGTTGCAGGCATTTGGGGGTAAACCAGATGTCTCCCCCACCCTGCCTTTCAAATAAAATGAAAAATAATTTTAAACCTGACAAACTGGTTCGTAAATGCCCTAAAAGTTCAAGTTTAATGTGCACCACTGAACATCGCTGAGAAGAGCCAGCCGAGCACCCAGCCAGCTCCCGAGCGGCACCCTGGGCCGGGCCGCCCTCCGGGCCCGGGGACGTGGGACGCGCGGCCAGGTCTGCTCCCCAGGCCCAGGGCCAGGGATGCGAGAGGCGGACACTCACTTCCTCTTAAACACCTCCTCTTCTTTCTTCCTGGTGAGCTGCACAGCGTGAAGCTCGTCCTCTAAGTCCTTTATCCTAACAGGAAACAGGGGACAGGGCAGACGGTCAGGAGCTGGGGCCGGCCTGGGCCAAGGCAGGCGGGGCAGGGCCACCGGCTGCGGGCCGCCGACTCACGCACCGGGCGTCCTTCACGGCCTCCAGGTCCCGGAGCTCCCAGGTGCGGGCCTGCAGCTCCCTCTCCAAGGCCGCGCTGGCCGACTCTGCCCTCTGTAAGCACTCTGCAGCCCTCGCTCCGGCCTCTGTCATGGCCTCAAGCTCTTTGCTCAGCAGTTTAACCTTTGAGGATTAAAGGAATTCAAAATGGGAATTAACGAAATAAACTGAGGCTTCAGCGGCCCGTGTTGGGGCACAGTGGATAAAGACACTGCCTGCAGTGCTGGCCCCATAGGGCACTGGTTCTAGTCCCGGCTGGCCCCATAGGGGCACTGGTTCAAGTCCCACTTCTGATCCAGCTCCCTGTTAATGGCCTGGGAAAGCAGTAGAAGATGGCCAAGTGCCTGGGCCTCTGCACCCACGTGGGAGACCTGGAAGAAGCTCCTGGCTTCCGCCTGGCCTGGCTCTGGCCGTTGCAGCCATCTAGGGAGTGAATCTGCAGATGGAAGATCTCTCTCTGTCTCTCCCTCTTTTTCTGTAACTCTGATTTAAATAAATCTTTAAGATTTTAAATAAATCTTTAAAAATAATTAAGGTTCGAGGTTTATCCCATTTTATCAGGATTGCGAGACAGGAGAAACACTAAATTTGAGCCAGCAGCAGTGAGAATCCCCTCACGCACTCCCGTGCCAAAACTCGCTGAGGCACAGGCCCCCAGAGACGGGGGAGGGGTCCCAGAGAAACTCGGCTTCTTCCCGCCGCCCACAGCACGAGCACATCTCAGTCTGAGATCAAACACGGAGCACAGCACGGCAAGCGTGGGCACCGCTGAGCTGCCCGCTGAGCGCTCAGACCAGGCTGTGGGTGGCCTGTGAGGGTGTCTGTGGGGGCAGCCCCAGCCCCAAGGCCCAGAGGAGGCCTGGGCTCTGGCTGACAGGGTCAGCACTGCTTCCAGAAGCAGGAAGGGGAGCCAGGCCACGGCAGCACTCCTGCAGGGCCCTGGGCTCAGCGCTGCTGGGGACAGGTGTCTGTGCCTGGAAATGAGACCAGGGGTCACCCGACTGGGACCCAGGCCCTCAGATTGGGGGCCACGGCCCACAGGGCTTTGGAGGCCTCCTGCTGGGCCAAGGGCTATCCTTGGACTGTGCACAGGACCAGGAGGCCCTGGGGAGGGGCCTGTGCAGTGACCAGGCAGGGGCCAGTAGGGCCAGACCAGGCAGCAGTGCCCACTTCTCTCCCCAGGCTGCAGGGATCGTCCTGCCCAATCCGAGCTCCCGGTTGACTCCGGGTGGCCCTGCAGCCCGCGGTGGTGCTCAGGGGCTCGTGGAGGCGGCCAGCACAGAGCAGGAAGCAGGACTGCAGTGCCAGCTCTGCCACATGCCACCTTGCTGGCCCTGGCAGCCCGAGCCCCCAGGCCTTGGCTCCTCTGCCATGAAACGGGAAACCAGCAGCAGCCCCACAGGCCAGCCACCAGGTTCCCAGGGAGGACACAGGCTGACCACAGGCCAGCACTGGGTCAGGAGGGCGCTCACCCAGCCCCAGCCCATGCAGCCGGCGCCTGGGCCGTGGGCCTCACCTAAGCCGATCACACTTCCAGCCGCCACCCTGAAGATGGGCTCCCACTGCCCCACAGAAAAGCCCTCCAGACCCAGGCCCAGGCACCTTGCGCTCGTGGGACAAGACCACGTGGCCCATGTCATCGGCCTGCTGACGCAACGCCTGCTCCCGCTTCCGCATCTCGGCTTCAAACTCCAGCCGCAGCTCCTGTAGCAAGAGGGGCTGACGGTGAGCGGACGGGCCCAGAGAACGCCCCCGCGGCTCAGTCGGCGGTGAGCAAGCGCCGCCCAGACAAGGCAGCGGTGGGGAGGGGAGGGGAGGGGAGGGGAGGCATCTGTGCTGCTGGGTGGCGGCGGGCCACAGGACCCCCGTGGCCGAACGAGCGGGCTCACGACTTCACAGACACTGGACGCCACCTGGCAGGCTGGGTCCTTCCTTCTGTCTGCGTGTGCACCGAGGGAGGACCGACCTGAATCTTACAGGGAGACCTACCGACCCCAGCCTCTCCCTAGGACCACCGACTCAGGACCTGAAGGAGCAGCCTGTCCCAGGACTGGCAGGGGCGGCAGGCATCCGCCTGGCGGTGAGGGCCGGCCAACAGCCTGCACGGAGCCTCAGAGAAGCTGCAGGAGGCACAGGGAGGTGCCACCCCTCCCTGTGCTCTCTGCTGAGAGGAGGAGGGTCACACCAGCGGCCCTGGTGGCTCCGGACTGAGAAGCACAGACTCCTAGCCCCTGCCTGGTTCCCGCACGGACCCGCCGCAAGCGCCTTCTGCAGGTGGCCACTAGGGGGCGAGCTCATGCCAGGAAGGAAAGTCCAGTTTACAGGAACAGAACCGCGCCGGCTCCCGGCCAGCTCCCTCCCATCCCCGCCTCCCTGGCTGCTCTCACTGATCCTCCAGGCTGACCTGCAACCCCCCCCCCCGCCGTGTCTGCACCCAAGGCTCCTTGGGCACTGTCCTGGGTGACCAGCCCAGGCTCCTGGCTGAGCCCCTGCCCCTCCGCACGTCCCCTGGGACATCATGGCAGCCCAGCCACCACCCTCCCAGTCTGTTTCCCCACCGACCTCCTCACATGCCGGCCCCATCTCAACAAACGCAGCCCCCTCCCGGTCCCCAACGCACCAGTGTCGGCCTTGACGCCTGCTGCCCCTGCCACCCCGGGGCACCTCGCTGCCCTCCCTTCCGGGTGCATCCGGATCCCACCCGCTGTTGCCACAGGGCCCTTGCAGCAGCCCGGCCACAGCCTGCCCCAGCCACCACAGCGCAGCTGCCTCAGGCTCAGCGCAGGCTCCCGGAACTTTCTCTTCTCACTCTGAACCCGGCACGTGGGCCTCCCAGCCTCCCCCACAGAGCGTTCTCGTGTCCAAGAACTACTTGCTAACCGCTCCCGTTCTCCTCTGGGGGCCCCGACCGACGAGCTAACGAGGAAAGACTTCCCGTGTCCAGGTGGGCCCTGCATTGCCAGTCACACCATCACCCGCACCTCACCTGGCACAAGGAAAGTCATTTGCCCCATCCACTCAAGTCGGCCTCTGACCCAAAAGAAGAGACAGGAAACTGGTCCACAGAGGGCAGCAAAGCTGGCGGGCACCAAGACCCTCACTTCACGAAAAGGCCAGAGACCGACAGTGGGCAGAGGGCAGCCGGGCTCAGCCTCTTCCAGCACCGCCCGGGATAAATGCCAAACAGGACCACGCAAACGCCCAGTGTCCTCGTCCCAGAGACAGGCTGCTGTCCCAACGCGATGAGACTCCTCCGTGTCGGCGACGGTGCCCCCGCACGAGCCCTGCTGGGTCCGGGAAGAAGCTGTGCGTGTGCACGGCCCGAGGAGCCACCCAGAGGCTCGGCCCAGCCCACCCTCCCTCCTGAAGCCGCACAAGCGGCCCCGCACCTGCCCGCTGGCTGGGACAGCCCCGCACAGCCCAAAGCCCTCCCTGCAGGGGTGCAGCGCGGCCTGAGGAGGCCTCGCTAACGATGCGTCCCCGATGGCCTCTGCTGCCCACACGCCTCAGCGCCCGGCTGCTTCCACTACTCAAACCCACCCTAAGGGACACAGCCCTTGGGTCCACTTCTCGGCCGAGCAGCCCACGAGCGCTGGGGTCTGGCCTTCTTGAGGACTGCCCGGCCCCAAAGACAGAGCTGGCACACGGCACCCTGACGCCATCTGCCCAGAGCTGGCACACGGCACCCCGATGCATCTGCCCAGCGACGCATCTGCTGAGACTCGGAGCCAAGTGAAGGAGGGGCTCAGGCAACACAGCCAGGGAGCACAGACATGGGAGCGCAGCCCCAGCCGACCCAAGGTCCAGTCCTGGTCTCTGCACAGTCCTGCGGCCAGGCCACACCCACTGTCCGTGCTGCTGCCCCCAGCACCGGCTTCCACAGCAGCAGCCAAAGGGACCTGTCAAGTGGCCCTGCCCAGACGCAGCCTCGCACCCTCCCCACGCCTGCAGACCAGCCCCCTCGGGCATGCGGCCCCGCAGAGCTACAGGGCTGAAGCACCGGCGGCGGCCGGGACGCTCTCCCAGAGGAAGGCCTGTGTCCTCCACAATAGCCGCTCTTTGAGGTGGCTCGGGTCAGCCCCTGGGCCTCAGGACAGACCGAATGCTTGACCACCGGCCACCAAGCTACGGTGGGACCTGAGCTGCCTGTCATGAGCCACGTGGAATCTGAGCCACCGAGCCGTGAAGCCGGGAGGGCAGGGTAGCACCCGCCAACACAAGTGGGGTCTATGTGGTCAGGCTGGGCACGTCCTGAAGGCACAGTCACGTGGAGCAGGGGCCAGCGTTGTGGCGTAGCAGGTAAAGCTGCCGCCTGTGGTGCTGGCATCCCACACGGGTGCTGGTTTGTGTCCTGGCTGCTCCACTTCCCATCCAGCTCCCTGCTGTGGTCTGGGAAAGCAGCAGAAGACGGCCCAAGTCCCTGGGCCCCTCACCCAAGTGGGAGACCCGGAAGAAGCTCCTGGCTCCTGGCTTCAGATCGGTGCAGCTCCAGCCATTGCGGCCATCTGGGCAGTGAACCAGCGGATGGAAGCTCTTTCTCTCTCTCTCTGTGTCTCTCTGCCTCTCTGTAACTCTGCCTTTCAAATAAATAAATAAATCTTTTTAAAAATGCCCCAAGGAGCAGGGGCCCAGCCACTGTGGAGTCCCTGCTGCCCCACCTCCTTCCCTCATGCCTGCCCCTGCTCACAGAGGGAAGCGATTCGGGCCGGTCTACAGACAGTTCTGTGGGACAGGGACACATGGGCACCACCCGTAAGGGGACAGCTCCAGCCCTACAGCCCCTCTTGGGTCACACAGGAGGGATGGTGGTGAAGCAAATCCTCCTGACGGGAGGCCGTGGGAGGACGTGATGGGAACACTGACAGAGCACTGGGGAAGCCAGCTCTGGACGGCAGAAGCGGTGAAGATTCTTGTGTTCTATGTGAGTAGGGTGGTGCTGGCAGGAGGCACTTGTCTTTAAGATCTTGTGGGGCCGGCACTGTGGCAGAGTAGGTTAAGCATTTGCCTGTGACACCAGCATCCCATATGGGCGCTGGTTCGAGTCCCAGCAGCTCCACTTCTGATCCAGCTCCCTGCTGATGGCCTGGGAAAGCAGAAGATGCCCAAGTGCTTGGGCCCCTGTATGGGAGGCCTGAAAGAAGCTCCTGGCTCCTGGCTTTGGGTTGGCTCAGCTCTGGCTGTTGTAGCCATTTGGGGAGTGGACAACAGGGTGGAAGACCTTTCTCTCTCTCTGTAACTCTCTCTCTCAAATAAAATCTTTTTAAAAAATTTGTTTTTGGTTTGTTTTGTTGGACATGGTTAGGCAATGTATCTCCTAGTTTTTCCTTTTTTAAAAAACACATTTATCTTAAAGGCATAGTGGTGTGTGCGTGTATGTATATATAGACACACACATACATATAGGGGAGATAACCTTTTACCTGCTGTTTCACTTCCCAGATGGCCGCAGCAGCCGGGGCTGGGCCAGGCTGAAGCCAGGAGCCAGGAGCTCCTCCTGGGTCTCCCATGTGGGTGCCGGAGCAGGACTCAGGCCACCTTCCGCTGCTTCCGCAGGCGCACTCCAGGGAGCTGCACAGGAAGCACGACAGCTAGGACTTGCACCAGCGCTGCTACAGGACGGTGGCATCAAGTGGTGGCTTAACCAGCTGTACCAAAGCACCAACCGTGCTTTTCATTATTATTTATTTTATTTATATGAGAGGCAGAGAGACAGACAGACAGATAGGAGGCGGATTTTCATCCCCTGGTTCACTCCCCAAATGCCTACAACAGCCTGGGTCAACCCAGGACAAAGCCAGGAGCACAGAGCTCAGTCCAGGTCTCCCTTACGCACAGCAGAACCCAAGCACCCGCGCCATCGCCTGCTGCCTTGCGGGCCGGCATCGGCACCCGCGCCATCGCCTGCTGCCTTGCGGGCCGGCATCGGCACCAGCGCCATCGCCTGCTGCCTTGCGGGCCGGCATCGGCAGGAAGCTGGCACACGGCGTGTCTGGGTTTGAGTGCTGGCTCCAGTTCTGACCCAGCTCCTGCCAGTGCACACCCTGGGGGCAGGAGGTGACGGCTCAAGTGCTTGTGCCCCTGCCCTTCCCGTGGGAGCCCTGGACTGGTGTGGGGTCTCCTAGCTTCTGCCTAGCCCAGACTCGCATCTACACACTCCGGCGCGGGACGTGGGTGACCCAGCGGCTGCCCCAGCAGGGAGGATCTGCTCTGTGACAGCAGCTGGCCTCCCTCTCCTGCCCTCTGTCACTGCCCAGGGAACTTGAGAACAAACTGACCAGGCATTAGGAACGGAGGCTACACCTGGGCTCCGCAACATGGACTTCCAGTGACCAAGTTGACCTGGCTATGGCCAGTGCCGAGTGCCCACCTGCCAACAGCAGAGACCAAAACTGAGCCCCGGCATGGCCCCAGCCCAGGAGCGGGTTCATTGCGCCGGGGCCACCCCATCCTGGAAGGGGCGTGTCTTGTTCCTTCCCTGCACACAATGATCCTGCCACAGCCGCCACCTGTGGAACCACAGACGCCTGACCCACTGCCAGGTGGACCCACAGCACTGCTCCCAACCAAGGACCTCACGGCACCACAATCAAGGGTGATCCACTGCCAGGTGGACCCACAGCACTGCTCCTGACCAAGGACCTCACAGCACCACAATCAAGGGTGACCCACTGCCAGGTGGACCCACAGCACTGCTCCCGACCAAGGACCTCACGGCACCACAATCAAGGGTGACCCACTGCCAGGTGGACCCACAGCACTGCTCCTGACCAAGGACCTCACGGCACCACAATCAAGGGTGACCCACTGCCAGGTGGACCCACAGCACTGCTCCTGACCAAGGACCTCACGGCACCACAATCAAGGGTGACCCACTGCCAGGTGGTCCCCACAGCACTGCTCCTGACCAAGGACCTCACGGCACCACAATCAAGGGTGACCCACTGCCAGGTGGTCCCCACAGCACTGCTCCTGACCAAGGACCTCACGGCACCACAATCAAGGGTGACCCACTGCCAGGTGGACCCACAGCACTGCTCCTGACCAAGGACCTCACGGCACCACAATCAAGGGTGGCTATGGACTCGTGCTTGTGGAACTCACTGGTCTCACCTCTTCCTCACCGTCCTGAAGCTGCTGGCTCCAGAGTGCTGGAGGCACAATGACAGGACCAGCTGGGCAGCCACAGGGTCTCCAGCAGGCTGTCCATGCTCTGCTTCGGGGTCCAGTGGATGGCCCTGCACCCCCCAAGTCAGGATTCAGGAATCGAGGAGTGGAAAAAGGAACAGTACCACTTGCTTTGACCCCACTGACTCACTATCAAAATTCTGCTTAAAGTTCCTGCAACTTTCTACTCTGCCAGCCTAGAGGTCTCGGTTCCAGCAAGAGGACGCTTCCTCCAGGGGGCACGGCAACAACTCCTCTGAACTGAAGTAAAGATGCCACTGGCCACCTCAGACCTCCACACCCCGGGTCAGCAGACTCAGAGGGGTTACAGGGCTGGCTAGGGCGACTGGTCCCAACTACCAAGGGGAACTGCCCTACTGTCCACATGGAGGTGAGGGAGCAAGTGTGTCCGGCATACTGGTGACCCCTAGAGTGTGTTTTAGGGTTCCCATGCCCCGAGTTTAGGTCTGTCTAATTACAACAGCCCAATCCAGGCAGGAGCGTGAATGCCGCAGACCCGACAGGATGCAGGCTGGGCCACCCCATCAGCTTAAGGACCATGATGTCGCCTAGGCTTCCTATCCAAGTCACGGCACCATTATGTCGCTCCCCCTCTTCATGGAGGAACGACACAGGACCCTGCGCTGTTCTTTTGTCTGCTCGGCCCTTCCCGGGTTTGCTGCTGGTTCTTCCCGGGTTGGCTACCGACCCTTCCACCTCCGTGGAAGGGCGGTTCCCCCTGCCACTTTCCCCACTTCCGCGGGGGAGCGGCACACCGCCGGCCGGCTCTCTCGGGGGCTGCTCAGGTGTTCCTCAGGTGTTCCTGGTGCATGTTGTCTCTCTCCTCCTTTATAGTCCTCTTCCACCAATCCCAACTCTGCTACCCACACGCCGAGTACGCTGCTCTCCTCCAATCAGGAGCAGGATCAACTCCTGCAGCTCATCACTCAAGTTGGTGAGAGACAGCTGTGTAGAAGCTGTTTCCTCCTCTCCCAGCGCCATACTGTGGGAGAGCAGATGCATAGAATAAGTCTTAATTCCAGTAACTTAGTCTAGTCCGAGTTGCTCCCCACACCATGACCCACTGAGACGCCTGCTGAAGACAAACAGAAATACAGGGTGGGCAGACAAAGAGAGCTACAGCTTCCAGCAATGACCGCACCTTCACAAGTACGTCCCCTTGTCTTGTCATCACGTCTCCTCTCTCACACAGAACACGTGCTGACTTCGCATCCTAACGTTTCAGCTATGGGAAACCAGGCGGAGGGCAAACGCCACTGAGGGAAGTTACGCCTTGCTAGGGAGGGCCTGACGCATCCAGGAGTGCGCACGTACCTGTCTCTGCAGAGCAAGTTCACCATCGAGTCCCTCCAGCTTCTTCTCCAGCTTCCACTTCAGAGTGTCGTACTGTTCCCGGTGATGCTCTATCTCCCCATTCTTGTCACTACGACGATAAAACACGGCGATAGGAAACGCCACGCTGGGCCAGCGTGTGGCGCGGTGGGTCAAGCCACCACTGCAATGCCAGGTCCCATATCCGAGCAGCAGTTCGAGTCTCGGCTGCTCCGATTCCAGCCCAGCTCCCTACGAATGTGCCTGGGGAAAGCAGCTGTAGATGGCCAAAGCTCTGGAGCCCTGCACCCACACGGCAGACCGCACGGAGCTCCTGGCTTCAGCCTGGACTAAAACCAACCACAGCGGCCATCTGGGGAATGAACCAATGGATGGAAGCTCTCTCTCTGTCTTTGCTGAGAGGTGGGTGTTGTGGCACAGCACATTAAGCAGCCACAAGGAAGGCCCGGGTCTACGGGCGTGCCAGTCTAAGTCCCAGTACTGCACTTCTGATCCAGCTTCCTGCTACTGCAAACCCTGCACTGGAGCCGACGTTCACACCCAGTGTGCTGATGGACTAAATCTAATGCAGGGCGGAGACTTGATCTAATCATGGCGGCTAGGAGGCGGGGCTGCTAGGAGGTCTTTGGGACATGGAGGGCCCACCCTTGGAAGGTGGCTCTCATGAAAGGGGTTGGTTATTTCTTCTTAAAACTCTTGTTTATTTAAAAGGCAAAGAGAAAGAGAGACAGACATGGAGGTCTTCTATCTGCTTCTGGTTCACTCCCCAAATGCCTGAACAGCTGGGGCTGGGCTAGGCAGAAGCTAGGAGACCCCATACCAATCCAGGGCTCCCACAGGAAGGGCAGGGATGCCATCTTGAGCCGTCACCTCCTGCCCCCAGGGTGTGCACTGGCAGGAGCTGGGTCAGAACTGGAGCCAAGGGGGGCTGGTGCTGTGGCGCAGCTGGTTAAAGTCCTGGCCTGAAGCGCTGGCATCCCATATGGGCGCTGGTTCGAGTCCCGGCTGCTCCAATTCCAATCCAGCTCTCTGCTGTGGCCTGGGAAAGCAGTAGAAGATGGCCCACGTACTTGGGCCCCTGCACCCACGTGAGAGACACAGAAGAAGCTCCTGGCTCCTGGCTTTGGATTGGCCCAGCTCCAGCCATTATGGCCAACTGGAGAGTGATCCAGCGGATGGAAGACTTCTCTCTCTCTCTCTTTACCTCTCTCTGTAACTCTGTCTTTCAAATAAATAAAATAAATCTTAAAAAAAGTAAAAGAACTGGAGCCTGGACTCAAGCCCAGGCACGCCCGCGTCCCAGGAGTGTCCTAACGCTGCACCGAACGTGCACCGACGGTTGGCAATTTTTACTTTAAGAAAATTTAATTTACTTGAAATGCAGAGTGACAGAGAGAGAGAGCTTTTCCATCTACTGGTTCTCTCCAAATACCTACAACAGCTGGGGTTGGGCCAGGCTGAAGCCAGAAGCCAGGACTCCATCCAAATCTTCCGTGTGGGTAGCAGCCGTCCGCTGCTGCCTTCTCGGGAGCATTAGCAGAGAGCTGGTCGGGAAGTGGACCCGCTGGACCTGAACCCGTGCTACGCTGCGGGACGCTCGTGTCACAGGCGGCGGCGCAGCTCCCTGCACCACAGCGCCAGCCCCGGGGTTGGTTATCAAGGCCGAGCTGAGTTTGACACAGTGTGTGTGCATGTGTACATGCGTGTGTGTGTGTCTCTCTCTGCTTCCTGGCCAGCCCCACGGTCATCCCTCCACACCCACTCCACCGCCAGCCCCACGGTCATCCCTCCACACCCACTCCACCGCTGTTGGCCTCCATCAGCTGTCACACCAAGGGGGCCACCTAGTCTTGGGCTGTGAACCGCCACATTCTAAGGTGAAACAAACCTCCCCTCTCAGTGGCTCCCCCTCCACAGTTCCCCCCCAGCTGTCCCCCCCCAGCTGTCCCCCTCAGCTCTTCCTCCTCAGTTCTTCCCCCCAAGCTGTCCCCCTCAATTCTTCCCCTTCAGCTCTTCCCCCCCAGCTGTCCCCCCTCAGCTCTTCCCCCCTCAGCATTTCCCCCCTCAGCTCTTCCCCCTGAGCTGTCCCCCTGAGCTGTCCCCCTCAGCTCTTCCCCCCCCAGCTGTCCCCCTCAGCTCTTCCTCCTCAGTTCTTCCCCCCTAGCTGTCCCCCCTCAATTCTTCCCCTTCAGTTCTTCCCCCCCAGCTGTCCCCCCTCAGCTCTTCCCCCGCAGCTGTCCCCCCAGCTCTTCCCCCTGAGCTGTCCCCCCTCAGCTCTTCCCCCCCAGCTGTCCCCCCCAGCTCTTCCCCTCCTCAGCATTTCCCCCCAGCTGTCCCCCCCAGCAGCTCCTCTCAGGTGTCTTAGTCGCGGTAAGGGAAAGCTGACCAACACAGACGTGGCGGAACACATCCTGCGCCTGGAGAAAAGGAACGGGCAGACGCGGGGCACTTTTCAGAGAGCGCTTTCCAGACGGAAGAGCTGTCTCTGCTCCGCCTTTCAAGCAGATGAACATAAATAAGTAAACATTTTTATGAGGAAGAGGGTCACCCGCCACGTGGAGGACAGCTGGCCACACAGGGCAGACAGCAAAGCCCCGCCTGCAGCCGGCAGAGGGAACTGAACGTCAGCGCACGCGGGGTGGGTGCTGCAGACGCCGACCCCCACTGCCTCCCCGGGAAGGCGTTCTGTGGTGTGAGCGCATCACAGGCAGCACTGCTGGGGTCCAGTGGCCGCGCTGGCAGGTGACACACAGATGGACTGTGCCTACCCTGGCCCGACGGTGCTTCCTGTGACAGGGAGGTTCCTGCAGGAGCCCTGGCTGCCAGGCCTATGGGCTCCTGCAGGGGGCCAGGTCCCGAGAGGTCGGGCTCAGACAAAGTGGCTTTGCACCCACGGCCGCGGTCTCCTCTCCTTGCAGCTGACCTGCTGACAGGAGGGCACACCGTCCTGCCAGCCAGCTCATGCCCACGGGAGGCCCTCTGAGTCACTGCGCCCACACTCAGGAGAGAGCCAGGTAAAGCACGTGCAGCACGCAGCGTCCTGACACGAAGGGCAGACAAAGGAGGCCGGGAGCCCCAGCAGCAGGCTGCGGGCCTGGGAGCACGCGAGGCTCTCCCGCGGCTCTCAGCGACTCCCCCCACCCCCCGTCCCCCTGAGAACTGCCCCTCTCAAACAGGGCTACCCCGCTCCTGTAGTTCTAAAAAAGCACTTTAAAGCACTGATTACATGAGAGGAGCGTGTGACCACATGACCGTTCTCTCCACCAACGCTCAGGCCGGCGCACGCCCAGCCCGCGGCCACACCCTCACCTGTGCACACGCTCCAGCTCCAGGCGGTGCTCCTGTTGCATCAGCTGGTGCTGCCGCTGCAGCTCCTCGCGCTGCCGGGCCTCCACGGTGAGCGCCTGCCTCAGCTTGGCCACCTCTATCTTGAGCTCGCTCAGCTCGGCCTGCCGGGCCTCCTCGCGGCCTCGGGCCTGGGCAAAGGCAGCGTCATAGCGCTCCAGCTCACTGTCCCGCTCCTCCAGCACCTGCAGGTTGTAGAGGAAGTCCTCCTGCAGGCGCCGCAGCCGGCCCTGCGCCTCCTGCACGGCCGCCTCCTGCAGCCGGGCACGCTGGGCCTGCAGCGCCCTCCACTCCTCCTCCTTGCGCGACAGCAGCTCGTTCATGGCCGACCCCGAGCACAGCTGCACCATGGCGGCAGCTGTAAGAGAAGGCAGCACGGGCAGCTCAGGGTCGAGCTCCTTCCACCAAGCCCACCTCAGACCCTCACGGTCCCAGGGTCACGGAAACTGGCCACACCTGAGTCTGGGGACGGGGAGGCCCAGACCGCGGGGCTCTACCCCATCCTCACCCCGCCATGGGGGGCGGGAGGAAGAGACGACGGACACAGGCTGTGCGCACCTACGGAGCAGGCTCCACAGCACAGTTGCAGAAGGAGCCTGCTCCAGCCTGCAGTTAGGAAAACTGGGGCTGCTGGCTGAGCTGGGACTGGAGCCACAGCCCCTCCCAGCCACACTCCTCCCCTGGGGCTGGGGTCCCCATCCAGGATCAGCTTCCCTGGATCGCTTATTTCCAATCAGTCACACACTGATACTCTGGCGAAACAACAAAAATAAGGTGCGAGGAAAAATGAAATTAGGAAACAACGATGCAGGGCCGGCGCTGTGGCGTAGTGGATGGCATAGCGGGTAAAGCCACTGCCTGCAGTGCCGGCATCCCACATGGGCGCTGGTTCTAGTCCCGGCTGCTCCACTTCTGATCCAGCTCTCTGCTATGGCCTGGGAAAGCAGTGGAAGATGGCCCAAGGCCTTGGTCCCCTGCGCCCACGTGGGAGAACCAGGTAAGCTCCTGACTCCTGGCTTTAGATCGACAGAGCTTTGGCCATTGCGGCCATGTGGGCCATGAACCACGGATGAAGATCTCTCTCTGTTTCTGCCTCTCTGTAACTCTTTCAAATAAATCAATAAATCTAAAAAAAGTAAAGTTTGCATGCTTTTCTCTAGCCAAGGACTCCTCTGTGTGCATAGTAAAATAATGATACACGCCGGCGCCGCAGCTCACTAGGCTAATCCTCCACCTTGCGGCGCCGGCACACCGGGTTCTAGTCCCGGTTGGGGCGCCGGATTCTGTCCAGGTTGCCCCTCTTCCAGGCCAGCTCTCTGCTGTGGCCAGGGAGTGCAGTGGAGGATGGCCCAAGTGCTTGGGCCCTGCACCCCATGGGAGACCAGGAGAAGCACCTGGCTCCTGCCATCAGATCAGCGCGGCGCACCGGCCGCAGCACGCCGGCCGTGGCGGCCATTGGAGGGTGAACCAACGGCAAAGGAAGACCTTTCTCTCTGTTTCTCTCTCTCACTGTCTACTCTGCCTGTCAAAAAAATAAATAAATAAAATTTTTAAAAAAATGATACACACAAAGAAACAAGGATGCACAACACACTAATCCAATTTTCTCATTCTTGGAGTCAACAGCACAAAACTACTTTGTCAAACTGCCAGCAAGTACCTACAAGTTCTGCACCTGCCAGGGACTGGCTGCTGAACATGGTGCCGTCCAGCCAGGCCCACGGCCGGGGGACCCCAGGGGGCACCAAGGTACCTGAACAAGGTCCTGCCCAAAAAGTGCTTTTTCAGTAGGGCTCAGCAGAGACTCTTTTTAAGATTTATTTTTATTTGTTTATTTGAAAGGCAGAGAGACACAAAGATTTATTTATTTATTTTAAAGTCAGAGTTACACAGAGAAAGGAGAGGCAGAGAGAGGGAGAGAGGTCTTCCATCCGCTGGTTCACTCCCCAGATGGCAGCAATGACCAGAGCTGCGCAGAACCTAAGCCAGGAGCCTGGAGCTTCTTCCAGGTCTCCCACGTGGGTGCAGGGGCCCAAGGACTTGGGCCATCTTCTACTGCTTTCCCAGGCCATAGCAGAGAGCTGGATCAGAATTGGAGCAGCCGGGACTCGAACCAGTGCCCATATGGGATGCTGGTGCTGCAGGTGGTGGCTTTACCTTTTATGCCACAGAACTATCCCCGAAAGAGACTTTTTAAAAAAGTATTTTTGGGGGGCTGGCGCTGTGGCATAGTGGGTAAAGCCACCACCTGCAGCACCAGTATCCCATATGGGCACTGGTTCGAGTCCCAGCTGCTCCACTTCCAATCCAGCTCTCTGTTGTGGCCTGGGAAAGCAGTGGAGGATGGCTCAAGTCCTTGGGCCCCTGCACCCACATGGGAGACCTGGAAGAAGCTCCTGGCTCCTGGCTCCGGATCGGCACAGCTATGACCATTGTGGCCAAATGGGGAGTGAGCCATTGGAGGGAAGACCTCTCTCTCTCTCTGCCTCTCCTTCTTTCTCTGTGTAATTCTGACTTCAAATAAATAAATCTTTAAAAAAATGATTTTTCTATTTGAAAGTCAGAGTTACAGAGAGAGAGAGGTCTTGCACTTGATGGTTCACTCCCAGATGCCCCGACGGCCAGGAGCCAGGAACTGCACCAGGTGTCCGCCGAGTTGCAAGGTCCCAAGCAGCTGGCCATCGCCTGCTGCCTGCCGGCTGCATCAGCCGGGAGCCGGATGGGAAGTGCAGCGGTCAGCTCTCCACAGGGATGCAGGCGACACAGCAGCTTCAGCCGCTGTGCCACAGAGGCGGGGGGGGGGGGGGGGGGGCGGTGTGCGTGCCTCACCGTCAGTCTCATCCTAGAGAAGGCAACCAGTCTGATTCCTGGAAAGCGGGCTGTCTTTTTTTTTTTTTTTTTTAAGATTTATTTTATTTATCTGAAAAGCAGAGTTACAGAGAAAGGAGAGGCAGAGAGAGAGAGAAAGATCTTCCATCCGCTGGTTCACTCCCCAGATGGCCACAATGGCCGGGACTAGGCCAGGCCAAAGCCAGGAGCCAGGGTTTTCTTCCAGGTCTCCCACGTGGGTGCAGGGGCCCAAGCACTTGGGCCATCTTCCACTGCCTTCCCAGACCTTTAGCAGGGAGCTGGATGGGAAGTGGAGCAGCTGGGACTCAAACTAGCACTCATATGGGATCCAGCATCCCAGGTGACAACTTTACCTGCTGTGCCCCAACGCCGACCCCAGGCTTTTACATACATCTATAAAAATATATATAAACATATATAAAATAAACCGCTGTCCCGGGCCCTGTCCACTCACTCCCAGACCCTGCGAGGGAAGAGGCCGTGCGCAGCTCACGGCTGTGAAGTGCCCCAGACCTCAGGCGCAAAGCAGCGAGGGCTGCTCTACTACCAGCACCGCCCCCGCCCCCGCCCCCGCCCCCGGCCCCGCCCCCGGCCAAGGTGCGCAGGGCTCGGACGTAAAACTCGGACGCAGGAACAAGATAACCGCACGTCACGGGGTTTCTGCTGTGTGTGTATGTTCCACATTAACTTGAGAATTCCGGAGCCAGCCAGCAGCCTCCCAGGGGTCAGTGAGACCCCCAGCTCTCAGGGCTGTGTGGCCACAGCACACCCGTGTGACCCCCAGCGGCAGCACCCAGAGCTACACTGGGGAGCAGCAAGGAAACTGTCTCCAGGAAGTGGGGAATCCCGACACACCCCAGGACTGAAGGTGCCTTCTGGGGGCGCAGCTGTGCGCTCGCTGCTCTCAGCAGTACAGGAGGGACCAGCACCCGGAAAGACCAGGACGCAAAGCTGAGGACAGGCGCTGAAGGCCCCTGCGAACACGACCGCGATGGCTGCCAGAGGACCGCACACACAGCCCGTGCCTTCCGCGGGGAAAAGCACAGGCCTCCTTGGCAGGGCATTCGGGGCTGCGGGAAGTTCTGGGGCGATGAGTACGTAGGACAGGGCTCGGCAGGCCTATGCTGCGAAGGCAGACAGCGCTCTGCTACTCAGCTCCAACGAAGCGGCCACTGCGACGGAACTGGACAGGTGAGGCGCTGCCCAGGCCTGCTCTGCGGTCGTTCCCCCGGGCACCTGCAGGCCCCACCCGTTAAGAACTGGTCACGCTGCTAGCCAGCCGGATCGGCTCAGCGTCCTCAGGGGAAGCTTCTCCCACCAGGCTCCGCAGCAGGGATGCTCTGCGGCCCCTGTCCCTCCCTCTCTCACCACACAGGGCAGGGCCAGATGCACAGCCCCTCAGAGGCACCGCCAGCCCCCGTCCCTGCCAGAATGAGCAGGTCCCTGCCAGCTGCCCGAGCACCAACCCCAGGCTGCGGCCCCCTGCAGCAGCACCTTGACCGGCTGTCTCTCGGCCTGCACCCACACCTCCACCAGGTCTTACTGCAGGACACCTGACCGGCTCTCTGCTCCACACTCACCTACTTGTGGCCGCCAAAGGAAGCTTCAAAAACGCCTGCCTGGGGCTGCCCATGCCACTTAGACCTGGACCCGGGGGCTGGCGCTGTGGTGAAGCAGGTAAAACCACCGCCTGCAGCGCCAGCATCTCATAGGGGCACCAGTTCAAATCCCGGCTGCTCCACTTCTGATCCAGCTCTCTGCTGTGGCCTGGGAGTGCAGTAAAGATGGCCCAAGTCCTGGGGCCCTGCACCTGCATGGGAGACCCGGAAGAAGCTCCAGGCTCCTGGCTTCGGATCAGCACAGCTCTGGCAGTTGCAGACAACTGAGGAGTGAACCAACAGATGGAAGATCTATCTCTCTCTCTCTGCCTCTCCTTCTCTAACTCTTTCAAATAAATAAAAATAAATCTTTAAAAACAAAAGACCTGGGTCCCGAGGCACCTGCCACTCCTTGCCAAGCTCCTCAGAGCCGGGGCCACGCTGTGGGAGCCCCAGCAGCACCTGGGCTGCGTCTGCCCTCTCCCTGGAAGGCTCCCCCAGCCCACGCAGGCCCTTCTGCCGCTGGACCCCACTCAGCTACCACTCCCAGAAAGCCTCCCTCGCCTTCCGGGCCACGGCCGACTCTGGTGTAGCAGCGCCAGCGTCCGGCCAGGCCGAGCCACAGAAGCACATGCACTTCAGCCAGGCACTTGCCCCTGCTCGGCCCCAGCAGACACACACACGGCGCTGCCCAGTCACCGGGCTTCCCGATGACTCGGGGCCCTGGCGCAGTGCCCGTGAGCCACTACGACGGCCCTCTGCAGAGACGCACGGGGAGGTCACAGGTCTCTGGGGACACAGGAGCACCCTGTCCTGTGCCAGGTCCCTGCCACCAGGCTCGCCTCTTACCGCCGCCCACGGGCGCTGCTCCTCTAATACAGAACTCGGACGGCACGGTGCTGCTCTGCCCAAAGCACCCGCGGCGCCTGGCCGTTCGCAGATGGGGTTCAAGTCGCTAGCACAGCACACAGACCCCAGGCCCGGGGCGGCCCGCACTGCCCGCAGCTCCCCTGGGTGTCAGCTGTTCCTAGCAGGCCCTGGCACACGCTGCTCTCTGCTCACAGGCCCCGGGGCCTGGGGAGGTCCTGTCCAGCCAGGCCACCCTCCGGAAGCCTGTGCGAGTGGCACCCACTGTCCCTTCTGGAGCTTTGGGGGAGGTCTCTCCTGCGGTCCTCCCCTCCCCCAGGGCGGCAGTGACTCCACTGCCCCCAGCGTCACCCGGGTCACCGGGAGGGGTCCCCTCCCCCAGGGCCTGGCCCTTTCCTTCCACCAGGCACCGCAGCCCTGCTGCAGGAGCTCACAGGAGATAATCCCCAAAGCCCCAGGCTCAGATTAATCAGCTTTGGCCATCACAGACTCAGTCAGGACCCAGAATGTCTGTCAGCGGCAGACGTCCGCGAGCCCAGTGCTCCAGGGGCAGGGGCCTGTGCCGACGGCACTCACTGCGGGGCCGCCGTCCCCCAGGCATCGCAGGGAAGGGATGGCACAGGGCAGGCGTCACTCATGTCTGTTCTAGAACGCTACGCTCTGGGGCGGCGCTCAGCGGTTAAGACGTCCTCACCCCACGTCAGAGTGCCTGGTGTGACGCCGGCTTCCTTCCAATGCAGGCCTGGGGAGGCACAGGTGATGGCTCAAGTGGCTGAGTCCCTGCCACTCACGTAGGCCACCTGGACTGAGTTCTGGCCCCAGGCTTCCCCCTGCCCAGCCCTGGCCAGTGGCATTTGAGGAGGGAATCAGAGGAAGGGAACTCTCTCTGCCTCTCGGGACAGAGTTACGTGGCAGCACACAAAGAGCCCGCTGACCTCGGCAAGCTCACCCGTCAGGCCTGAAAAGCACCCGGAACCCCTCACGGAAGCCCTCACCCCGCGCGTGAGGACAGCCAGCAGGCCCCTCCGAGACACCCCCACCCGCGGGCCGCACGCAGCAGCTCCAGCGCTCCCTCACCTGGGGTGGGACGGGGCGGGCGGGCCCTGCGGGGCTTCCTGCGTGTGGAGCGAGAGGCCTGGAAGTCCGTGCTTCCGGTCAGGAGAGGACTCTGACGTCTGCACAGGTCCTGGCAGGGCCAAGGACGTCAGCCCTGCTAATGGCCAAGCCCCTCTTCGCAGTGGACGCCACACTTCAGAGAGGGCTCAGGACCAGGGACGTCCCAGGCCGTCTGAAAAGGCGGTACCTGGGAGAGGAGCAGCCTGGGCGTTGCTGCAGGACCCCCGGCCACAAACCCACGAGCTGGGCAGAGAGGGGAGAGCAAGCCACGTGGGGCCCTGCCGAGTCTCGGGACAACCTTCCGGGGCACGCGGGAGTCAGCCACACTCATGTTCAGCTGACCAGCACGGAGCAATGTTTGAGGGTAAACACTGGCCAGCAGCTAACTGGGAAAACCAGCAGCAGATTTTAAAATTCAGACGAACGGCAGAAGGCTAACCTAGAAAGGTCAAAGTCAGCCCCAGGGCCGGCGCTGCAGCGCAGTGGGCTAAGCCTCCACCTGCAGTGCCAACATCCCATACAGACACCAGTTCAAGTCCCGGCTGCTCCTCTTCCCGTGCGGCTCCCTGCTATGGCCTGGGGAAGCAGTGGGAGATGGCCCAAGTGCTTGGGCCCCTGCACCCATGAGGGTAGACGCAGAAGAAGCTCCTGGCTTCGGAGCCATCTGGGGAGTGAACCAGCGGATGGAAGACCTTTCTCTCTCTCTGTAACTCTACCTCTCAAATAAATAAATCTTAAAAGAGGAAAAAAAGTCAGTCCCCAGGCACTTATGAACATACCACCTGGGCACGATGGCGGGCAGACACCAGAACCACCACCTCTCTTTTTCTTTCATTTTTATAAAGCCTACTTTTACTTAGCTGAAAAGCAGAGTGACAGGGAAAGAGAAAGAGCTTCCGTGCACTGGTTCACTCTCCAGATGGCTGCACCAGCCAGGGCTGAGACAGCAGAAGCCGGGAGCCAAAAACCCTACCCAGGTTTCCCACAAGGGAGGCAGGAACCCGGAACCCGAGGACTTGAACCATCACTGGCTGCCTCCAGGAAGCACGTCAGCAAGAGGCTGGACGGAAACGAAGGCAGGACCCCACCCCCACTCGGGTTGGGGGACAGGACTCCACCCCCACTCGGGCGTGGGGGACCAGACTCCACCCCCACTCGGGCGTGGGGGACCAGACTCCACCCCACTCGGGTTGGGGGACAGGACTCCACCCCCACTCGGGTGTGGGGGACCGGACTCCACCTCCACTCGGGCGTGGGGGACAGGACTGCACCCCACTCGGGTGTGGGGGACCGGACTCCACCTCCACTCGGGCGTGGGGGACAGGACTGCACCCCACTCGGGCGTGGGGGACAGGACTCCACCCCTACTCGGGTGTGGGGGGCAGGACTCCACCCCCACTCGGGTGTGGGGGACAGGACTCCACCCCCACTCGGGCGTGGGGGACAGGACTCCACCCCTACTCGGGTGTGGGGGGCAGGACTCCACCCCCACTCGGGCGTGGGGGACCGGACTCCACCCCCACTCGGGCGTGGGGGACAGGACTCCACCCCCACTCGGGCGTGGGGGACAGGACTCCACCCCCACTCGGGTTGGGGGACAGGACTCCACCCCACTCGGGTTGGGGGACAGGACTGCACCCCCACTCGGGTGTGGGGGACCGGACTCCACCCCCACTCGGGTGTGGGGGACAGGACTGCACCCCACTCGGGCGTGGGGGACCGGACTCCACCCCCACTCGGGTGTGGGAGGCAGGACTCCACCCCTACTCGGGTGTGGGGGACAGGACTGCACCCCCACTCGGGTGTGGCAGGCAGGACTCCACCCCCACTCGGGTTGGGGGACAGGACTCCACCCCCACTTGGGTGTGGGGGACAGGACTGCACCCCACTCGGGTGTGGGACGCAGGCAGCCCGGGCGGCTTCCCCGCGGCACCGCCAGCCCAGCTCTTCCTCTGGGGCACTGCAGCTCTGCCGCACTGGCCTGCCGCTCAGCCACCAGTAAGATGCGCCCCAGCGCTGTGACCGGCCCAGCCGCTCCGGGCAGGGCGTGCTGCCTCCCGTCTGCCCCGCAGCTGCAGCAAACCCTCGGCCTGTGGGACCTGCGGGCGGTGCAGGGGCGCGCCCCCTGTGCGGGAGGGCACAGTGACCCCTGCGCTCTGGAGCTCAACACTGGCTGCGCGGACGTGGGTCCAGGAGACAAGTTACTGGCCTGGAGCCCAAGCCTCCTTTCCCTCCCTTTGCTGTCAGAGTGGCCACACGGTCTCTAAACCTGGGGCAGGAGGCGGCAGCGGAGGTGCGCGCTGGCGCCACGGGGAGGGGTTATTTTCTCTGAAACGACATCCCCCACCCCTGCCAAAAGGTTAGAACGTGGGGAATCAAATGCAGGAGAAGCCATGGTCACGGAGCTTCGCGCTCAGACTCGGCCACTTTTGGACCCACACAGATGCTCCGTGTGCCAAAACCAAACCAGACGGAGACCAGCGAGGCCACCATAACAACCACTAGAGCGCCTCTGGGAAATCCCTGGCTGCACACCGGAAGATAAACAGAAACCAGGCCGAGGTCGGAGGCTCTCGCAGTGCCTCCCACCGGAACACGGCGGACAGGCCTCGCTGGGCCAGCGGGCAGCAGGCCTGCACAGCACACGCGCGGGCTCGCACGGGCTCAGGGTGAGCGCCGTAGGCACACAGCCGGATGGTCAATGAGCCCGCAGGAAAGCGAGGCAGGGGCGCAGGGCTGGGAGCAAGGACTCCGCGGTGACGCGAGAACACCTGCACAGTCTAAGCGTCTCCCACGAAGTCCCAGAGGGACACACGTGACCCGGGCTCAAGCCGCGGGTGTCCCCGGGGTACCTGGGGGCCCGGTCCCAGCCCCGCTGCGCCACCTCCGATCCAGCTCCCCGCCCGTGCCGGGAGGGCAGCGAGGGCGCCCAGGTTCCCGGCCCCGCCCCCGTGTGCAGACCCGCACGGGGTCCAGGTTCCCGGCTTCGGCCTGGCCCAGCCCCCGCTGGGGACATCTGGGGAGTGACCCAGCCGATGGAAGCGCGCTCTCGCTCTCGCGCGCTCTCGCTCTCTCCCCCCCTCTCCCCTGCACCTCCCTCCCTCCCTCCCCCACCCCCTGCACCTCTGCCTTTCAAATATTTACCAACCCTAGACACAACGGCCCGACTTGAGCGGAACCGGGACAGATGTCGGACACGCCCTGGGGCGGGGATTCCACCGAGGGGCCGAGGCCGGGGCGAGGAGAGCGCGGCGCTCCGGCGCGAACAGGTGGGCGGGCACCGGGGGGATCCGAGCAGACGGCAGCGGGGGCCGCAGCGCCCCCGCCGCTCCCCTGTCAGCCCCACACTGGGCCGCACCGCCTGTCCGCCGCCCCGCCTGGGTCCGACCCGACCCCGCCCGCCGGCCAGCAGCCCTCAGGACCCGCAGCGCGGGCGCCCACAGGCCTCCGCGGCGCCCGCGCCCCCCACCCGCGGCGCCGCCCCGCGACCACCGCCCGCGCTCACCGGGAACGCCGGCCCCGGGCGACGCCCAGCCCCGCCGCGTTGCCATAGCGACCGAGTCCGCCGCCCGCGGTCCGGGCGCCCTCGGTGCGCCTCTGGGGTCCCGCCGGCCGGAAACGGGAGCCCGGGCGCCGCGTTCCGGCCTCTTCCCGCCTCCGCCCCTCCTGTGCGCAGGCGCCGAGGGGGTCTGGGGGTGGGCGTTCCCCGAGCGCGCGATTCCCCGCGGGGGTCCAGGGCGGGCCTGAAGCCCACTCCGCCCCCAGACACGCGTCCTCACGCACCGGAGGCGACGGGGCTCTCCCCTAGCAGGGCCATGGTCCCCAAGGCACCCAGTAGGTCTGCGCCCGCACGTCCAGGCTGCGTTTCGTGCCGGGGCTGGCGCCGGGCTGGGTCCCTGGCGAGACTGCGGGGACCAGCCCAGGCCCGCCCGCCCCGTCGGGCACCCCGGCTTCTGCCGCCGTCAGATGGGCACGCCTCGGCCAGCGCTGCCGCACTGGGGCCTGTGGACAGTACCGGGACCCCGCCTGGGCCACGCCCCTGTCAGGCTTCAGGTGGGGGTCCGCAGCCCCTGCTCCTCTGCACACACACGCACACACACACCCATCCCTGGAGTCGCACCCGGGGCTTCTGCCCGCAGCCGCCCAGCTCCTGGCCCGTCCTCCTCAGGGCTCTCGGTCTCTGAGGACACAGGCCTGGCCCTGGCCTGGAGGTTCCCTGTCCTCGCAGCACAGGGCAGGGCTGGGTTTGAGTGGCCCCTGGATCTGCTCCAGGCCTGGCCAGGGAGGTTGAGGGGAGCAGCCCGTGCTGGGCGCCGGCGGAGGGGCTCGGGGCTGCTAGTTTTGCATCCTGGCACCCACAGCGGGGTGCACAGACCCCATGTCGGGTCTGACCCTGTTCCCCAAGCCGCGAACTCGACCGCGTGTGCAGACGAGGTCCCTGCTCCGTTAGGGCAGACGTCCTCTTGGGAGGCGGCATGTGCAGAGGCGAGGCCGGCGAGGACGGGACAGGAGAGGAGGAGCCAGCCTGCCGGCACCCTGGCCTCGGGCGCCCGAGAGAACTGGCGCGTGGCGGCCGAGCTAACGACGGCACCGCCCTGGGCTGCAGCCACAGTCACTCCCGGAACCTCAGGGGACAACGCCAGGGCAGGTCTGAGGCTGGGGAATCGCACAAGCCCCGTGAGGGGGGGTTGTGCAGGGCCACTCCCCCTGCACCCCTCCTGGCCCCACCTGGCGCCCCCTGCACCTCCCTCCCCGCTGGAGGCTCCCGGCGTCAATCCGGCATCAGCAGGACTCCGGTGCGGGGTCTCGGGGCTGCTTCCCAGCAGGCCTGTCCCTCTGGGCGTGGATGGGCGGCGGTGCCCACAGGGCCGTGCTCCCCACAGCCTCCTCCCTGCTGCTCCAGTGCCACCTCACCCCTGCCAGTCCCATCTGCAACCACCCTGTTCCCAGTGAGGTCCAGTTCTGATGTCTCTCGGGGACCACGGCTCAACCCGCGTCAGCCTGGACGGCGGCCCCCAGTGCTGGCTGCGCAGGCCGAGCAGAGCAGCGGAAGTCCAGGGACCCTCCTGGACGGAGCTCCCCGCACAGCCAGGGCAGAGCAGGTGTCAGTGCACCTGTGGGTGGCGGGTGCCTCCGTCCCAGGGTGGGCTAAACGAGGAAAGGAGACCGCACGGCTGGGCTCTCGCATCCCAGGATGCAGGCTGACCTGGTGGACGCTGACTCGCCACCAAGGGTAGCTGGACAGCCCCCCCCGCCCGGGACAGCGCCTGCAGGGAGCGCCAGGGGCTGCCGAGGAGGCCCCAGGCTCGGGGTCCTTCCTGTGACTTGGGGCCACAGGGTGACCTCCCCGAGGGAGCTCCCCGAGCTGTGTGCCTGAGGCTCTGGGTCTCACCTAGGGCCCCAAAGCCACGGGCATCTGGGCCTGGGAGGGGGCCTGGGTGCCCCTGCGTGGACTTGAGCGAGCCACTTCCCCTTGGACTCAGGAAACACCCCGCGTCAGGCCGGCTGAGAAACTTCCCCCTCTGCCTGGGAACCCTGGGGCCTGTGTCTGAGCCCTGGGAGGGGTGTTCTTGTGCCAGGAGCAGAGAACCAGCCTCACCGCAGCACACGGGCAGTCCCAGCAGCGGCCTCAGGACCGCCCACAGGCGCCATGGCCATTGGCCACTTGCCAGGGAGGTCAGGCCCGGGGCTGCCCACAATCCTGCACTGTTACCGTGGGACCCCAGGGGGCTGCTGTGAACCGGGCAGTGCCCCTCACTGCTCCCCCAGGGCCACCTTGGTCCAGAAACAGGACCAGGGTGCTGGCGTCCACCTCCCTCTGCTGTCCTGTCCACTGCTGAGAAAGCAGCCTGTGAGTGGGAGGTGACTCAGGGGACCGGGGTGCCCTGGGGGACACCTGGCGTCCCCACGGTGCGGATGAGTCTCCCGCAGACGGCCAGGTGAGAGGGGGAAGCTGGAGGGCAGGCCACGCCCACCCCAGCGCTCAGTGCTGGGTGACGGGCGGGGCCGGCAGTTCCAGGGGCACAGGAAGATTGGGCAAGGCCTGGCCTCCTGCAGCTGCCGTGTGGCGCTGGGCACGGAGCCAGGCACACGCCCCTGGGCCCCGGGGCCTCCACAGCTCCCTCACGGTGGCCTGGTGATGCCGAGGCACCCCGGGAGCACGCCCCAGGGCTCAGCGCGGCCCGGCCTGCCCCGGGGCTGGGCGTCGGGGGGCTGCAGCTCGGCAGTGACAAGGCCCGGGCACCCGGGTAGCAGGAGGCTGAGGTGGACCGTGAGGGACACCCACCTTACTGGGGAGGGCCTGGGCAGGGGGACAGAGGCCCGGCCACCTGCGGCACTGGCCATGCGATGTCCTTGGGCTCCTCTGCTGCGGCGGCGTGGAAGATGCCCCCCAGGACCGGGCGGTGGGGCCTCAGCCGCCTCCACAGCATGAGACCAGTGCTGCCCAGGCCCTGTCCCTGAGCCCACAGGACACAGAGAAAGGACAGGCCCGCAAGTGGCAGAAGGAAGGGAGGGGGGGCAGCAGGGACCCTGGAGCCTGCCCAAGGCTGGACAGGGCTGCCAGTGCAGCCGGGAGGGTACCGGCCCCACCCACGACCCAGAGGGAGAAGGCACGTGAGAGGCTGCCCCTTCCCACCGCGGGGCCATGACAGCGCCACACTGACCCTCCGTGCCCATCCTTTCCCACAGAGGGGCCAGGGCCCAGGTGATCCCCAAGGAGGACCAGGGAGCCTGCCCACAACCTGCCCCCAGGTCAGATGGGCAGGGCAGTGCCGCCACCCACTGACCCTCTGCCCAGCCAGCTCGTGGACAGAGGGGTGCCACGTGTTCCTGCGGCCTGGCCTGGCCACCCGCACCCCATGACCCTCCTGCCAAGGTGGGCTGCCCATCACCAAGGTCTCCAGCTCGAAACTGGTGGCCCCTGGCCACTGAGGCCTGGCCCAGGGCCTTGCACTCCTTGGAGAGCCCCAGGGTGGCGCCTGGCCCAGCTTCTGCAGCAGCAGGCTCGGCTCAGCGCGTCACACACGCACCCTTCTTTTGGCGGTAGAGATCATTGTGGCGAGCGGCGCCAGGACAGCTGGGCAGCCATGCGCTGGGGAGAGGAGTCACGGCTCTCTCACCCGTTCTGGAGATGAACTCGAGCTGGGCCAGCCAGGCCAGCGGCAGAGCTAGACCAGGAACCCCTTCGGTGAGCTCACACTGTCGCCGACACGTGGGACAGGGGAGGGGACCTGGCCCCGCCCCGCAGGAGCAGGTGGCCGGCGCGTTCCACGGTGCAGCGGGGACCGTGGTGGCCAGCAGTTAACTCAGTACGTGAAAGTCGAGTAGAGCGCTCGAGCGTTCCCAGGGGAACGAAAGGACGCCCGTCGGGTGGCGGACATGCCAGTCACTGACAGGACTGTCACACGTCCCACACGCCCAGACATATATGTAATTACTGTGTGTCAATTAAAATTTTTAAAAAAGCCAGGGGCTGGCACTGTGGCATAGTGAGTGAGGCCGCCACCTGCAGTGCCAGCATCCCATATGGGTGCCAGTTCGAGTCCCAGCTTTTCCACTTCCCATCCAGCTCTCTGCTGTGGCCTGGGAAAGCAGTGGAAGATGCCCAAGTCCTTGGGCCCCTGCACCCGCATGGGAGACCTGGAAGAAGCTCCTGGCTCCCGGCTTCAGGTCAGCTCAGCTGTTGCAGCCATCTGGGGAGTGAATCTGAGAAGTGAACCAGCAGATGGAAGATTTTTCGATCTCTCTGCCTCTGCCTCTCTATAACTCTGCCTTTCAAATAAATAAATAAATATTTTAAAAATATAAGAAAACCATAGGGGGAAACCTTTAAGACATTAGATTTTTATGATACCAGGCACCACGGCTCAATAGGCTAATCCTCTGCCTGCGGCGCCGGTACCTCAGGTTCTAGTCCTGGTCGGGGCGCCGGATTCTGTCCCGGTTGTCCCTCTTCCAGGCCAGCTCTCTGCTGTGGCCAGGGAGTGCAGTGGAGGATGGCCCAAGTGCTTGGGCCCTGCACCCCATGGGAGACCAGGAGAAGCACCTGGCTCCTGGCTT